ATTCTAATCGTTGACTTAGTCTCTATGATGGCTTCCTTCCTTTCTCTGTTCATAAAGATAACATTAAGCCAAATTAGTGATGGTTGTCATTTAAATAAAATACTCAATGACTCAAGTCATATTTACTTTGTGCTTTTTATTTAAATTCTTGACTGGTTAAGGATAATAAATATTGAAAAGCCATAAAGCTAAATTTTAATAATGTATTGAATGGGTTTGAAAATAGCAGAAAACAATAGTATCTGGTAGTTATTGCTGCAGGGTTTTGCACTGTGCTACCAGATTTGTGACTTGTACTCTGACATAAGGATTACTTAAAAATACAAATGACTGAAGCTGTTTCTCTAGGTTAATTGTTTAACGTTTATATTTGATACAGTAAATTCCAACCTACAACAATTTGTGGTTATGACACAATCTCTATTAAAGCTATTTTCCTTGTATATAAGGTGGCATCAATCAGTTCCTGGTTGTACACCATATTGAATTGTTGTGCATTCATTCTCTTTCATTTGTGTTGTGTTTGTGGAAACTTATTGCCCTTCATTATGGCTCCCAAGTATAATGCAACTTCTTCTGATTACAGTGCTTTGAAGAAAAAGAAAGCTATCACCATGGAACTGAAATTAGGCACTGTTGAGAAGTAAATATTTGTAACATGCACATGATATTTTATGCAAATTTAATTCCTGCAGTGTCATACAGAAGTGAATATTTATAGTATTCAAATGACATTTTATACAAATTGAATTCCTTCAGCATCAAAGAAGTATAAATATTTGTAGTATTCAAATGATATTTTATACAAATGGAATTCCTCCAGTGTCATAAAGACGTAAACATTTGAAGCATTCAAATGATATTTTATACAAATTGAATCCTCCAGTTGTCAGAGAAGTAAATATTTATAGTATTCAAATAATATTTTATACATATTGAATTCCTCCAGAGTCAGAGAAATATCAATATTTGTAGCATTCAAATGATATTTTACACAAATTGAATTCCTCCAGTGTCAAAGAGATAGATATTTGTAGCATTCAAATATTTAATACAGATTTCATAAAATTAAATAAAGCTGATGTTGATAATATATTGGCATCATAAATAGTCATCACATTTGTACATGAAATAAGCTTTGGAGTAAAATGCTGTAAAAAGCAAAAATGCTTTTGATATACCCTATTATAATTAACTGCTGAATTTCAAATCTGTAACTATGGTACTGAACAAATCCTAACCTTATGGCAATGCTACTAATATTAGTTATGTTCCAAACATGCAAGACAAAAAATAATTTTTTACACTTGATGAATGAACATAATATTTTATTTTTTAAAATTAAGAGTTAAAAGTGAATATGGCCAACAAAATCAAAGAACTGCCATCCAAACTCATTTAGTACTATTCCTTAACAAATACATGACATGTTCTCTGAGTTCAAAAAATATCTTTAGAAAATTCCGGTATAAATGAGTCCTTAGGCTTTGAGTAACACTTCACTTCAGTTCAAGAATGGCGCCTGCATTCCAAATGTGCTTGTTGTTGATATTTGGATTCATGACTCAATAATAAATGGTAAAACACAAGGCTGTTTTTCCAATGGCCTTCAAGAAATGAAGTGAGAATGCTGACTAGTAAGTGAGAAGGAGTAAAGAAAAAAATGTGGGGAGAAGTGAGGGTGGGAAGTTGAGAAGTAATGCAAGAAAATATAAAGGATTAGAAAAAGAAAAAAAAGGGGAAGAAAATTTTTAAAAATAAAGAAATGAAAGAAAGACAAACCAGAAATACAAAAAAGAAAAATGAATGAAACATTAGAAAGAAAGAAAAAGAAAGAAAATAAAAACAAAAGAAACAATGAAAAATTAAGAAAGAAATGAAAGCAGCATAAAGAAGATAACAGAAGAAAAAAAGAAACAGAAAGAACGAATGAAATTAATAAAAACGAGACCGAAAAATGAATGAAACATATGAAAAAAGAAACAAAAGAAGGAATGAAAAAGCAAAAAAGAAACATCTGAAAAAAGAAACATGAAAAAAGTAAAAACAAAATGAAAGAATCAGAAGAAAAACAACTGAAGAAAAAATGAATTAAATTAATAAAAATGAGTCCAAAAAATGAATGAAACATATGAACAAAAGAAACAAAAGAAGGAATAAAAAAAAGCAAAAAAGAAACAAAGAAAAAGTAAAAGAAATGAAAGAAGCAGAAGGCAAATAAAAGAAAAAAAGAAAGAAACAGAAGAAAGAATAAATGAAATAAATAAAAATCAGACCAAAGAAAGAAAGAAAGATACTGATGACATGTTTAACTGTGATATTACGAGTCTCAAATATTCATATTGGGTTCACCTGATTAATTTTTATTTAAGATGGAGTCCACTGAATAGAATCATCCTTGTTATATCTTGAAGGAATCTTTCATTGAAATTTTACAAAATAATAAATAAACATATTAAAGTTATTTGGTCCACTGCATTTTCATTTATATCAAAATAAGTTACCACCACTTAGTGTGAATATGAAATTATGGTTATCTAATCATAAATTACAAGATCTTCTACAGAAGGTAATGAAGAAGAGTGAGTATAAGGGACTAAGCATAAACTACAAGAACGCATGGTCATTAGTAAAAAATGGGCCTGAAATGCAATTTGCAAATCAGGAACACTAGAATGAGATGCAGAAGTTTACATATCTGGGAAGTGTTTTGACAGAGGACAAGTAAATGTGACACTGAGATCCGTAGATGTATTGGAATGGCTAAGGATGCATTCCAAAAGCTGGGCAGAGTATTGCAAGACAGGAGGATTTCTTTGGTAACAAAGAAAAGAATACTGAACTGTTACGCAACATCTATCCTTCTTTATGGCAGTGAATGTTGAACAATTTCCTTAAAGATCAAGAATAGATTCGAGGCAACAGAGAATGTGGTTCTACAGAAGGTTGCTAAGGATATCATGGACCAAGCATGTGAGCAGCAATGAGGTCTTAGAGAGGATGCAAACAAGGAGGAGGCTTATATTTAACATCAGGAAGAGGCAGCTGAAGTTTCTGGGACATAATGAGGAAGGAAAGACTGGAGAATCTGATACTCATAAGTTGAATAGAGGGAAAGAGAGACAAGGAAAAACAACACATGACATACCTAGCGGGCTTGAGCAAGTGGATGGCAGAACATGGTCTGGGGGAGGTAGCAGAGGGAAGGAACTTGTTGAGAGCTGCAAGGGATAGGGGGAGGTGTGAGAGCCTTATCGCCTATGTCCTAAAAGGACATGGTACATAAAAAGAAAGAAAGAATCAGAAAATGAAATCATTGAGACAAGTTTGACTTCTGAATAAATCATTTGTGCTCACTTCCTATGAATACCCCAAGCTATGGGAAAAATAACAAGGCAAGCTGCACTTTCTAGTCTTCATTGGCAACCAAACAAGAAGAAAATTATCTCTGCATTAAAACTATCAACTCCTTAATAAAACCTACTTCATACCAAATCTGCAATCGCAACAAATATCATGGCAAAATTACACTACTCATATAGACCACAGAGAATCTACAGAGGCAAAATCAACATCTTGTGTAAAAATATGCCCTGCTAATAAATTTAAATATCTAGAAAGTGTCTAACAGAGAACAGAATATATGATGCAAAATGCATTGGAATAGCAAAATATGCCCCTTCCAAAAGCTAAGCAAAATATGAAGAAACAGGAAAATTTTGTTAAGAACAAAAAAAGTGTAATAAACTATGATGTAATTTGTCTTCCTCTACAGTAATGAATGCTAGACAATCTCCTCACACATGAAGAAGAGATGTGGTTCTGGAGAAGGCTGTTGAGAATACCATGGACTGAACATGTGAGTAACAAGGAAGTTTTAAGGAAAATAGAAACAAAATGAATGAATCAGATAAAGACAGTTGAAATTTCTTGGGCAAATAAAGAGAACTTGTGGAATTTGACACACACAGGATATATTGAAGGCAAGAGAGACAGAGGAAAACTGAGTTATCTATCCAAAAAGCTCATATAAATGGATGGCAGAACAGATATCAGGAGGAATGGTGAAAAGATAAAACTTACTCAGAACTACAAAAGAAAAAGTTATGGAGAGCCATGATTGTTCACATCTTAAAGGACGAGACATAGAAAAAGAAGAATATCTTTTTTACTTAGAAGATTGCCTGAAGCTCCTTTTGAAAAATACTTATATATATATAAAAGGCAAACAGACAAAAAAGAGATAAATATTGAAAGTTTTTCATAAGAATTAATTTACTTAAGTGAATGACGTGTTATTCTTGATTTCTAGAAACTCTTGTCTTCCCTTGTATTTTTCTCTAGAAATGAATTGACATGAAAAGTTTGTATCAATGGAATTCTAACATTTTTTCCTCAATTTTTTAATTTTTTTTTTTGGTAGAAATGAGAATGAAAAGTATTAAATTTTTATTTGTTTTTATTGTTAATATGTCTTTGTTTTCAATTGATAATATTTTTTTATTTTTGATTATTGCCTCGTTTTATTCCTAATTTTCCTTTAGATTTTTTATTCATTCATCTTGTGCATGTTTGATATATCAATAAAAAAAAATACCATGCAAATTTTTAACCACCAATTACTGATTTCAGGGTCAAGTCATGGAACAACTGTCAACCTGAGAAAATTTTATTCTTATTTTTATTTTTTCTGTGAACTTTCCATTTTTAAGTAGCTTCAAGGTAAAACATGAAGAAAATTAATTCCAGAAATCTCAGAACACAAGATCTGGAAATAATTAATCATTGGTTGGAATACTGGAATGAAATCTGTAGATCTATGATTCAAATGAAAAGCCATGCTTATTCACATCATGAAAGAAAACTGATTTCATATTAATTTTGAAAAAAAAATATTTGGAATAGATTTTTGACCTCTTCAAGTTAGAGAGGTAGATTTTTCAAATTCATTTTTACTTATGAAAAAATATTTGAAACAGCTTTATTTTCATTGCTTTTTA